CCTCCTGGGTCCCGTCGCGCCCCTCCCAGGCCCCGTAGCGCCCCTCCTGGGTCCCGTCGCGCCCCTCCCAGGCCCCGTAGCGCCCCTCCTGGGACCCGTCGCGCCCTTCCTGGGCCCCGTAGCGCCCCTCCTGGGCCCCGTCGCGCCCCTCCCAGGCCCTGTAGCGCCCCTCCTGGGACCCGTCGCGCCCCTCCTGGGCCCCGTAGCGCCCCTCCTGGGCCCCGTCGCGCCCCTCCCAGGCCCTGTAGCGCCCCACCTGGGACCTGTCGCGCCCCTCCTGGGCCCCGTAGGGCCCCTCCTGGGCCCCGTCGCGCCCCTCCCAGGCCCCGTCGCGCCCCTCCCAGGCCCCGTCGCGCCCCTCCTGGGCCCCGTAGCGCCCCTCCTGGGCCCTGTCGCGCCCCTCCTGGGCCCCTGCAGCGCCCCTCCTGGGCCCCCCGTCGCGCCCGCCCGGTCCTGTCGCACCAGCCTGGCCCCGTCGCCCACGCTCGGCCCCGTCCTGCTCGCCCGGCCCCGTCGCAGCCGCCCGGCCCCGTCGCATCAGCCCGGCCCTGTCGCGCCCGCCCGGCGCCGTCGCACCGGCCCGGCCCTGTCGCCCCCGCCTGGCCTAGTCGCCCCTGCCCGGCCCCGTCGCGCTCGCCCGGCCCCGTCGCCCCGGCCCGGCCCTGTCGCACCAGCCCGGCCTTGTCGCGCCCGCCCGGCCCCGTCGCGCCAGCCCGGCCCCGGCGTCCTCGCCCGGCCCGGTAGCACCTGCCCGGCCCCGCTGCCCTGGCCCCGTCCTCCTCCCTGGTACGGTTCCCCCCCACCTTGCCCGGCACAGCCCTGCACCGTACCGCCACGCACCACCCTGTACTGCCTTACACCGCACTGCACCTCACTGCACCGCACTGCACCGCACTGCACCGCACTGCACCGCACTGCACCGCACTGCACCGTATTGCACCGCACTGCACCGCACTGTACCGCACTGCACCGCACTGCACCGCACTGCACCTCACTGCACCGCACTGTACCGCACTGCACTGCACTGCACCGCCCTGCACCGCACTGGACTGTTCCTGATGGCGGCGGAGCTTCGCTTCGACGCTGAAGGTCAGCCCCTAGAGTTCGAGGCGTGGCTTGCCGACCTCCGCCGCCAACTCACTGGCCAGCGGCAGGATGGTGAACCGCTTTCCGCACATCTTGACGGTACGCTCCCCTGCCCAGACCCTCCTGCTATTCTGCCCGCTGACCCCACACCCACTGAGCGTGAGTCTACTGCTGCCACTGCCCGTGCGCGCTCTGTCTGGCTTTCTCGCGATGCTGTCGCCCAGCTTGCCATTAGCAACGCCCTCCCCCCGTCCGAGCGTCCTCGCTTTAGATCCCTCACTACTGCTCAGGCATACTTAGATGCTGTCATCAAGCGCTATTCCACCCCTCCGGCTGCCTCGGTGGGTCGCCTGATCCTCCAGCTGCTCTTTCCTGACCTTGCTTCGTTCCCCACTGTCTCTGACCTCGCTGCCCACTTGCGCTCGATAGAGGAGACCTGGCGCGCCGGCTGCACTGACGCACAGCTTAGAGCCCACCAGCCGCCCATTACCTCTACCCTCTACCTGCTTGCCACCCGCCTCCCTGACCGCCTTGCTGTCGCCCGCGACCGCTTCCTTAGTGTTCACCCCGCAGACCTCACCCTCACTGACTTTGTCGACACCCTGACTGTGATAGAGACCCGTCACCGCTCCATCGCCCAGGCGAGCGGTGTCGTGCCTGTCCCTATCTTTCAGGGTTGTGCCCCCGCTCAGTGCACCTTCTCCGACGGCTCAGCCGCAGTGGCTGAGACTGCTGCTGCAGCGCAGGCCCGTTCTGGGAAGGGCCGCCGCCCCAAGGCTGGGCGCGGCGGAGGGGGCGGCGGGGGTGCGGGCGGGGGTAGTGGTGGGGTCGGGTCGCCTGGTGCTGGAGCGGACGAGGGGACCCTGCCCAGTCCAGCTGAGTCGCCGCCCCTGCAGTTGCAGCAGCCGCCGCAGTCGCAGCCTTCGCAGCAGCCGCAGCAGCCGTTGCAGACGCGGCAGACGAGTGTCCTCCCGCCAGGGTGGCCCGGCGCTGGCGGTGGACGGGTGCGTGGTGGTGTGCCGCGTGGTGGCTCTGCCGGTGGGCGTTGTCAGTACCAGATCCAGACCGGTCCTCGCCGCGGCTTCGTTTGCGGTAAGATCGGTCACTCCACTCCCCGCTGTTTTCGTCGCCTGGACGACCTCTTTCGTCAGCGCTTCGGCCCGTCGCCAGACCTCCCGGACTGGCACAGTTTGCTTAGTCGACAGATTCAGATCTTTGATATGGACATGGATGCCATTGTTTCTGCTCTGCATGTGATGTATGCTGATGACTCTAGTGTGCTTCCGGCTTATTACTCACTGTTGCCTAGTGTAGGTGTGCCCAGCTTAGCCTCCCCTGCTGCGTCAGGCGTAGGATCCCCTGCTTTGTGTAGTCTTGGTGCTTCTGCCGTCGTTCCGTCGCCAGCCCCCTCGGCTTCGCTTTCCTTCACCTTGGACTCTGGCGCCTCTCGGTGTTTCTTCCGCGACTCCACCACCCTGACGCCGCTTCCTGTTCCTGCTGCCGTTTCTCTTGCTGACCCCTCCGGCGGTCCGGTAGTCGCCCGCAGTTCCACCACCCTTCCCTGTCTGGCGGTTCCGTCGGGCTCTCTTAGAGGTCTGCATATCCCCTCGTTCTCCAGGAACCTAGTTGGTGTCGGCTGCCTCCAGGACCTTGGCGTCACCACTACGTTCCCTGGTCACGAGCGGTATGCTGTCTGTACTGAGGCCGCCACTGGTGCCCCCCTGTCCACGTTCCCCCGGGACCCGGTGTCCGGCCTGTTCACTCTGGACACCGTGACCCCCCCGGCTGGAGCGCCCCCTCAGGTGGCTGCGTCTACCCAGGTTGCTGCTGCCTGCTCCTGTCGCTCCCTCACTCACCCGACCCTCCTGTGGCACCACCGCCTAGGTCACCCTGCGCTCCCGCGTCTGCGTCACATGTCTCAGCACGGTCTCGTCCTTGGTCTCCCAGGTTCGCTCCCCGCGTTTCCCTCCTCTCCAGCCCCACCTTTCACGCCTTGTGTCGAGGGTCGGCTTCGCCGTGCCCCTCACTCCTCCTCGTTTCCCCCTACCGCCGCGCCGCTGCAGACCCTGCACCTGGACGTCTGGGGCCCCGCCCCCGTCCCTGGGCCGCGTCGAGAGCGCTACTTCCTTGTGCTTGTCAACGACTTCACTCGTTACACCACAGTCTTTCCCCTGGAGCGCAAGGCCGACGTGCCTGGCGCTCTCATCCCCTGGCTTGTCTCTGCGCGTGTCCACCGCGGTCTCCCTGTCTTGCGTCTTCACTCAGACCGTGTTGCGCAGTCCAGCTGTGAGGCTGAGATCTACGCTGGTGCCATGGCGGCACAGGAGCTCCGCTGGCTGACCTTCTTGCTCACTGACTTAGGTGAGCGGCCTAGCTCTGCCCCGGTCCTGTTCGCTGACAACAGGGCCATGATCCTCCTGTGCCAGGAGCCTCGACTCGAGGGCAGAGCAAAGCACATTCAGCTGCGGTACTTCCTCATGCGTGAGCTACAGCAGCGACGTCAGGCTCGCGTAGTACACTTGGCCTCAGGTGCCAACACGGCTGATATCTTTACGAAGGCGCTTGTGCCTAAAGATCATCAGCGGCACTGTGTACAGCTTGGTCTAGTTCCTGTAGCCTCTCACTTGCTAGGACCTTGACTTTGTACTGTCCTTTATATGTATACTCAGACTGGACTTGTGTCCTCTCCCAGTGGCTGGACTAGTAGTACCGCCCTGCTCTTGTGCTTGCCTTGTCTGTACTCCTTCTGACTGGTCGCTCAGACCCTTGTCTCAGAGGTTGGACTAGTAGTGGCGCCCTGAGCTGTTTGTTTAGGACTTTCCCCTATGCAGTCTAGGGGGTGTGTCAAACATGTCTATGTGTTATGTTTGTATAGACTGTATAGGGTAGCCTCTTAGAGGGTACAACACTTAGCTATATTGTGTGTACTCTCTCTGTATCACCAACACTTCAATTTCTGATATATTGGGTCACCTCTTAGAGAGTGTAACCCTTAGATATATATCCTTGTACCCAGGTTCTCTAGTCATTCATTATTCAGTTCTAAGAGACTCCACGTGTAGCAGTAAAGTTGAGGATTTTCTGGAGCGGAGATCGCGAAGGAAGCTGGTCATATTGGAGGAAAGAGCATTGAGTTGTGCAAATTAAAGAGCAAATTGTAGCAAGCTAATCGAAAGAAAGTTATGTCGCTCACATTCAGCACCCAACCTCGTCGCCCCTAGGCGGTTTCGGTGCTGCTAATCTCGAGAAGTCTGCCCACTGCCACCAGCAGCACCTCGTACACTGAATAAGGTGGGCCCAGCTGTTGTTAAAAAAATTCCCCCTAGGGGTTGACGCGACGCACACCCTCCTCTAATGACTGCCGGGGGTCTGCCAGAAGATCGTCCATAGGCTTTGTGCTGTGGGTCGTATTTGCGACTTCGGAAAAGCCAGTGTTTTCGTCAAACCAGCTCCACGGGAAAGCAGAGCAGAGCAAGCTTTCAAGTGCTTACACCTGATATTCTTTTGAGGCTTAGGTTTCGATTTTTGCAGTTTCCTCGCAAGGATTTCCGAAAAAGAATTGGGCCATAACATCTAGCACCACCTGGCCTGTTCTGTCTAAATTGGGCGACCTGGGTTGTTCCCCGCGCATTCTGTGAGTTACAATATGCCTTTCCTTTTTTCGCAAGCCCGTCGTTCGCCGAGCTTGTCGTCCCACGATTCAGTGTGCGCCAGCCAATGACGAAGTCGACGAGTCGCTTCGTGAATTGCCCATCTCCATGTTTACGAAGCCCTTTTTGTGCTGTATCTCCAGACCTGTAGCGTGTGGGCAGTCTCCAGTGATTTTCAGCCTTTGGGCTTATAGGGTGTGTAAGAGACTCAGTTCACCGAGCTTCATGTGTACTTAGTTGGCTCGTTGGCCATGCAATTCCGCAGCTGAGGTTTTCGTGAGAGAGCATCTAGGGATGTGTCGAAATATCATCATTAGTTGACAGGCACCATCATAGGTCAAAGTTTCCGCAAAAGATACAGTATCGTACTGTTGTCAGCTAGGTGCCGCACCTCATCCTCCGTTTTGTCAACGAATGTCAGCTAGCTAGGTGTGATTCCTGTGTCAAAGTCAAGCCAGTTTGGAACCTATGGCATCCGTGATCGTTGCTTGGACGGATAAGCCTCTTTCCACCCTAAGTTTCCGAAATAGTTTCCGCCCATAAGCTTCCGTCGCCGTAAGCTTCCGCGCAAGCTTCCGCCGTAAGCCTTTCCGCGGCTGTCAGTTCCCCCCCAGCGTAAAGCCGCGGCACCAGGCACGCGTTCCTCTGGACAAAATGGCGATACTGGCACTAGCAGCGGCCCACGTCGCCCCGCACGCCACGGTACTAGACGCCCCCTAGACACCACGCGAGGCTTTTGCGAGCAGCCTCCCCTCCCCTCGCGCCCGCGTCTTCGACTCCCCCGCGAGGGGGGAGGGGGGGGGGGGGGGGAGGGGGGAGAGAGTCACTGCGAGCCTGTCAGGGTTTACGGGGGCGTCCGCGAGTCGGATGCGAGGCGCAGTGCGAGTCGGACGATGCGAGCGAGGCAATGCGGCTCCCCCTCCCCGCCCCCCCCCCCCCTGCGAGCCTGGCAAGCAATGTGGCGCCTTACCCGGGGTGCGAGGCGATATGTCTGCTGCGGAGGGGCGGGGCGGGGCGAGGCCGCCCGAGCAAATAGAAATAGAGATTAGATGAGCAGCTGAGACCAGCAATCAGTCATATCCAGTCCAACAGTCTTGCCGCTACCACGTCCCACAACCCTCCTCCCCTGGCTGTGTCAGAGCCATCCCCTTCCCTCGATCTGCCGCTTCACCAGGCATCATCATACTATCGCCCATAGTACTACTTCCCTCCTCCTCCTCCCCCCCTTCGGCCCCTCCTAGCGCGATCATTCTTCGTCTAGCATCGCCTCCTGTTAGACTTTTGAGGCGCCTCAAAAACTGGCGCGATCATTCTCGGTCTAGCATCGCCTCCTGGTAGATCTCGTGTTATCCGTCTGCTGCTCGAGGCGGAACGAAACGCATCTATCAACGTGATATCCGTCAACGTCAACGTGAAATCCGTCAACGTCAACGTCAAACCCGTCAACGTGAAACCCGTCAACTCTCCCACCTCGAGGCAGTGAAGGATGGGGAGTTCCAAGGCCGTGGTTCACGCCGCATTCCTCATCATCGCCCTTCTTGCGGGTACGCATAGTCTCCTGCTCTCACCCCATGCTCCTCACGCTTCCACGCCGCCAGGAGCAGTGAGCAGTGAGGCCGGTGAGTCACTGGCTTTCGGAAGGATGGGGCGTTCCATGGTGGTCGACTCGGACCCGTTCGGCCACCGCTCATTCATGCGTCACATGGGTCACATGCGTCACATGCATCACATGTGGAACATGATGCGTCAGTTGGAACGCATGCGGCACACACACATGTCGGCCGTAGACACATGCATGAGAAACCAGACACATGAATGACTTGTGATTCTCACAATGTCCACTCTCACATGTCCACTCTCACAATGTCCACTCTCACAATGTGATACTCTGAGAATCCAAAAGTCATGTTTCCATCCGATGCCTCACATCCATGCGTCTCGTGCTCTCATCACGGTCAGTTCACCCACCCCAGACGGCCAACGATCACACATTCCGGCCGTTGGCACATGAGCGCAACTTACAAGCACACATATGTGCGCCTTATATGAACACACGAGCGCGACTTACTAGCAACTTACAAGCACACATAAGTGCGTCTTATACGCACACATTAGCGCAACTTACAAGCACACTTAAGTGCGCCTTATATGCACTCATGGGTGCACCTTCTAAGCACGCCCACCCCCCCATTCGTGTCCCCCATGTGTGTGTCCCTTGCAGCGAGTCAGCTGCTGCTGTCCCTGGGAGCAATACACATCGGTGTCACCCTTGGAAATGACACAAATAAGCAACTCATAAGCACACCCACTCGCTCAGTTGAATCTCCCACGTGCCTCCCATATGTGTCTCCCTTGCAGCGAGTCAGGTGCAGCTGTCGCTGGGAGCAATACACATCGGCGTCATCCTTGGGGAAGACGGCATCCCTGTGAACGTCGTCGCCCCTCTCCGCGGCAGTACCCCTGGCAACAGCAATGGCAACGGCGACGGCAACGGCAACAGCGGCAGCAACGGCAACAGCGGCAGCAGCGGCAACAGCGGCAGCACCGGCAACAGCAATGGCAACGGCAATGGCAACAGCAATGGCAACAGCAGCAACGGCAACAGTGGCACCGCCAGCAACAGCGGCAGCACCGGCAACAGTGGCAACAGCAGCAGCAACGGCAACAGCGGCAGCAATGGCAACAGCGGCAGCAGCGGCAACAGCGGCAGCAGCGGCAACAGCGGCAGCAGCGGCAACAGCGGCAGCAGCGGCAACAGCGGCAGCACCGGCAACAGCGGCAGCTCCGGCAACAGCGGCAGCACCGGCAACAGCGGTAGCACCGGCAACAGCGGCAGCACCGGCAACAGCGGCGGCAATGGCAACAGCGGCAGCACCGGCAACAGCGGCAGCACTGGCAGCAGCACCACCACCAGCACCGGCAGCAGCAGCGGTGGCAACAGCGGCAGCGGTGGCAACAGCAGCAGCACCGGCAACAGCGGCAGCACCGGCAACAGCGGCAGCACCGGCAACAGCGGCAGCACCGGCAACAGCGGCAGCACTGGCAACAGCGGTGGCAACGGCAACAGCAGGAGCACTGGCAGCAGCAGCACCACCAGCACCGGCAGCAGCAGCAGCAGCAGCAGCAGCAGCGGTGGCAACAGCGGCAGCACCAGCAACAGCAGCAGCACTGGCAAAGCAGCAACAGCCGACGCTACTACCAGATCGCTGACAGTTGGCACAAGCATGAGGATCAACGGGCGCTCTTTCACCTTCTCCTCGCCTCGCTGCCTGGGCCTTCCAGCCATGACGGGCCATGGGAAAACAAGGGTGCAGGTGGCGTGGCAGCAGGCGGGCAAGGCTGCTTGCAGGGAGATTCAGTTCTTTGCTGGCCCGGGCTGCAGAGGAGAGGCAGTGGACAGTCTGGAGCAGAGCAAGAGGTGAGTTGGAACAGCAGGGATTGAGGCTGGAACGGTGAGGGGAGGTGAATGGATTGGCAAGCAGGGGGGTAAGTTGGGCACCCCAGGAGTGAGAGGACCGGGGTGCAGGGGAGAGGCAGTGGACACTCTGGCGCAGGGCACGGGTTGAGTTGGGAGGGTTTAAAGGGGTGAGTTGGAGTGTTAAAATACTTGCTTTCTACTTCCTGGAGCGAGTGTGTGGTGATGTGAATGAACAGGGGTGAGTTGGGCCAGCAGTGCCCCCAGCCCAGTCTCTGCGTCCCTGCGTCAGAGCCACTCCTTCGCTTTCCCTTGCTGATCAGTGGTCCTTGCATTACTCTCGCACTACCCTCGCACTCTCTTTCCCACCGACCCTTGCACACCTCTTCCTTGCACTACCTCCCACTTGGGCAGATCTAGGTGGATTGCCAAATCAGTGAAGTCGGTTCGCTGCGTCACTGGTGCGTGCCTACTCTGCTTCTGTCATATTGCTACACCCATTTCATGTTACTATGTCTTTCTTTGAGTCCTGCCTGTACCTTTAAATGTTTTGCCTTTGAACTCGTTCCTTTGAAACTGCTGCCCTTGGTTGTCTTGTCATATTGGAGTGTTTCTCTCCCTGCCCTCCCCTCTTAATGCTTGGGTTGCGGAGGACAGTGCAAACGTGTAGAATTGCCAGTTCGGGTGTAGGGTTCAAGGTTCTGGTGTCTCCATCCCTTCTCCTCCTCTCTTACTGCTCCTATGTTAGAGGACAGTGCGAAGGCATCAACTGCCAGTTCCTGGATAAGGGTTTCGGGTTTCGGGCATACGGTTAATGGTGTCTCCATCCATCCATCTTCCCCCCCTCCCCCCCACCCCCCCCCCTCTCCCTCCCCCCTTGCTTGTGTTGCAGAGGATAGTGCAGAAGCATAAATGGGGGCGCTCTTCGTCGGAGGGCCATGGAGCCAGCTCTGGGCTGGTCGGGCATGGTGCACAATCGCAAATGGGGGGGGAGGGATCGTTGTGAGCTTGGAAGGAGCGTATGAGTGGGAAAGAAGAGGAGAACAGTGTATCAAAGTAGCGAAGTGACTAGAAAGTGTGCTACACGGTGGTTTTGTGCTAATACTCTCTAAGAGTACGCACCTATCTAGCCTATAGTAACATACAAATATATGTTTGACACACCCCCTAGGCTAGTTAAGGGGCAGTGCCGGGCAAGAGACACGAAGGTCTGGGTGGCACTACTAGTCTAACCTCTGAGGCAAGGGTCCGAAGACCAGTCAACAAGAGTACAAACTAAACAAGAGCAACCCAGGACGACACTACTAGTCCAGCCATTGGAACGAGGGGCACAAGGCCAGTCAAGGTAATATAAGGAATAGTACATAACCAGGGTCCTAGCAGGTGAGAAGCTGCAGGAACTAGACCAAGCTGTACACAGTGCTGCTGATGATCTTTCAGCACAAGCGCCTTCATAAAGATATCAGTTGTGTAAGCACCGGAGGCCAAGTGTACTACGCGGGCCTGGCGGCGCTGCTGTAGCTCGCGCAGGAGGAAGTACCGCAGTTGGATGTGCTTCGCTTTGCCCTCCAGTCGAGGCTCCTGACACAGGCGGATCATGGCCCTGTTGTCAGTGTACAGGACTGGGGCAAAGCTAGGCCGCTCACCTAAGTCCGCGAGCAAAAAGTCAACCAGCGGAGCTCCTGTGCCGCCATGGCACTGGCATAGATCTCAGCCTCACAGCTAGACTGGGCTACAGACGACGAGCGAGTGGACCTCCACGAGATGGCACCTGTACCAAGGCTAAAGCAGTAGCCCTGGGAGGACCCGAGCGTCTTAGCGTCGTCTACCCACGAAGCGTCTCTGTGCCCTGTAAGGACCACCGGCTTGCGTGCTCCTAGAACTAGCCCCATGTCCCATGTACTTGCTAGATAACGCAAAACCCTCTTAGCGGCCGACCAGTGCTGTGGTCGGTGTCTGCCTGTCGCCACAAAGCGATCTAGGATGCTGAGAGGGTATGCGAGATCTGGACGAGTGCAAGTCATCAGGTACACGAGCCAAGCCATCAGCTCTGCGTACGGACCAATAGGCTCTACTGAATCCTCAGAGACTAGAGCTGAGAGCCTGTGGTCTACTGGCAGAGGTGTGGGCTGTGCAGAGGAGAACTAATGACCGAACCTCTGAAGGACCTGGCGCACGAATTGTGACTGTGTGAGAGTGATGGTGCGCACTACTCTGTCCCTTGAGATCTACAGACCAAGGTAGCGGCGCAGCTCTCCTAGGTCAGTGCAGGTGTGTCTCCTCAGCAGCTCGGCCTGCACAGAGGCCAGTGCATCCCTATCTGTAGTGGGGAAGACCAGGTCGTCCACGTAGCCAAGGATATAGAATGGGGTCTGGCCTGAACAAACAAAGAGCGAAGGGTCTGCAGAGGATGCAGCACTACAAGTCAGCTAACGTAGCACGCAGCGTGTCGTGCCACTCGTGGGGCGCCTGTTGCAGGCTGTAAACTGGGCGCCGAAGGAGCCACTGGGTCTCCGGGGCGAAGGTGGTGGTGAAGCCTGGCGGGCGATACAAGTAGACCTGCTCGTGAAGACTGCCCTGAAGAAACGCAGTGGAGAAGTCGAGAGAGTGCAGCTCGTAGTCACGCTGTGCTGTTACGTATAGCAGAGCTCGAAGAGTGGTCATCTTTTGGGTCGGGGCGAAGGTCTGAAAGAAGTCAACACGCTCGCGCTAACTGAAGCCTCCAGCAACGTAGCGCGCCTTGAACACCGGTAGCTCTCAAGGATGGCGCTTTTCCTTGAAGAGCTTCCGGCTTTCGACTACGTTCACCCCAGGTGGGGAAACTGCGTCGATGTAGGTGGCAGTGGATCTAAAAAATGCCATCTCCGCGTCCATGGCAGCTATCCACTGAGAGGCCCAGGGTCCCGAGGTCGCCTCAGCGTAAGTGCAAGGGGTCTGGATGTCAAAGGTGTCTGGGTCACCCTCAGGGACTAGCAGCATGGAGCAGAGATGAGGCGCGTCCTCGGACAGGGAAGCAAGCTCGTTCAGTCGGTCCTCCAGGACGTCATTGCCAAGGGCAGGAGCACCCCTGACGGATGGAGGACGGGCAGGGCCAGAGACTAGAACAGTGGCGTAGTCTAGGCGGCAGGTAGAGGGAAAGTTAGTGACGGCAGCGAGAAGAGCGTTAAGACAGGAGATAGGAATAGAGGGGTCGGTAACAAGAGAGGCGAGGACCCGAGAAACAAGATGACTAGCGGTATGGAGAAAGTCAGACAGGGGATGCGGAGCGACAACCAGCGACGACGGAGGAGGCGACGGAAGGAGGGGAGGACGAGACGCGTGGGAACAAAGCAACATACTGTAGGGTGAGAGCGCTGGGCAGGAGAGACAAAACAAGCACGAGAGGGACGGCGAGACCAGAAGTGGGACTGAGGCATGGATTCAGGAGTCATAGGTGGAGACACAAGAGGAGAACAAGCTGGAGACGAGTCCGGCGGAGGAAACACAGGACCGTAGACAGGCGAGGGAGGCGCAGGCGAGCGGTCAAGGGAGGGAAGACCGAGGAGGCGAAGGGCAGACAACGGCAGCGACTGCTGCTGCTGCTCCTCCATGCCAACACCAGAACCTCTAGCTCCACCACGGCTTCCTCCGGGATGCTCCATGACAGCACCCCCAGAATGAGAACCCTCTCCAGCACCGGTGCCACCCCTAGGACCACTGGGACAAGCCACGACAATACCCCAGGAATAGCAACCCCAAAACCAGCACCCCCAGAGCGAGAACCCTCTCCAGCACCAGTGCCACCCCCAGGACCGCCGGGACAAGCCACGTCAGTAACCCATGACTAGCACCCTCCTCAACGCCTGCACCCCAAAAGCTCGCGGACCCCTGCGGCGGCTGCTGCGACGGTGGCGACGACGGCGGCTGCGGCTGTGGCAGCGACGGCTGCTGCGGCGGCGGTGTCGACGGCGGCGGCTGCGGCGGATGCGGAGGAGGAGACACCGGGGCGAAGACAGGTGGCGAGACTGAAGGCGCGTGGCCCTCGGAGTCAGCCGATTCCTTCACCGGGACAACCGACGGGAGGGGAGTGACGTGAGACACACCAAACGGGGCAGGATGGGGCTACCGGGGGAGTGGGGACCAAAAATAGGGGAGGGGCAACCGGGAGACCTCAGTGGGGAAAGCGGGTGTAGAAGGAGACAGACTCGTCAAAAGTGACATCACGAGAGTGAAAGAAGCGGTGAGACGAGGGTGGTAAACGTGTCAGTCAGACGCGTTGAGCGAGAAACCAAGGAAGACACAAGGGACGGTGCGGGCAGTGAGCTTGTCCGTGCTAGAGGCACGAACGTGAGCAAGGCAGCCCCAGACGTGGAACACAGACGCGTCACCAGAGAAGGGTCGGTGAAACCTGCGGCCGCTGGGAGTGTGGCCATAGGTTAAGCTGGTGAGCGAAGTAACAAACAGCAAAGGGCCACAGAAAATGGGGTGCACCGGCATGGATCATGGAGGCATGAGCCACCTCAATGACCAAACCGATGCGTCTCTAAGTGACCCCATTCTTCTGTGGGGAGTCCAGCAGGGTGTACGACTGGGTGATGCCCTCCGCACGACAGAATTGGCCAAGGCGACCGGAGGCGAACTCGCCACCACGGTCGGAGTGAAGACGCAACACATGAAGGTCGCGGTGGACTCGCGCAGCTATGACCCATGAGATAAGAACGTCAGTCACGTCGGCCTTCCGCTCCAAGGGAAACACCGTGGTGTAGCGCGTGTAGTCGTCAACGAGCACCAGAAAGTAGCTCTCTCGAAACAGCCCAGGGACGGGGGCTGGACCCCAAATTTCCAGGTGCAGAGTCTGGAGTGGTATAGTGGTAGGGGGGAGCAAGGAGGAGTGAGGAGCACAGCGTAGCCGGCCCTCAACGCAAGTCATGCACATCGGCGCAGGCGAGGGAGGGAGGGCAGGGAGCGACGCAGGGAGACCGAAGACAACCTCGTGATGAGACATGTGACGGAGATGCGGGAGTGTGGGGTGACCTAGGCGGTGGTGCCATAGCAGTGAAGGGTGGGTGAGCGACCGATACGAGCAGGCGGCCTGGGAGGACGTGGTGATCTGGGGGGACGCTCCGACCAGGGGGGATGAGGTTTCCAGCATGAACAGACCAGACACAAGGTCCCGGGGGAACGTGGTAAGAGGGGCACCAGTGGCGGCCTCGGTACAGATAGTGTACCGCTCGTGTCCAGGGAATGTGGTGGTGACGCCGAGGTCCTGAAGACAGCCGACACCAACTAGGTTCATGGAGAACGAGAGGATGTACAAGCCTGTAAGAGAGCCCAAGGGAACCGCCGGACAGGGAAGGGTAGTGGAGCTACGGGCAACTACCGAACATAAGGAGGGGTCAGCAAGTGCTACAGCGACGTGAGTGAAGTGTGGTCGCGAAAGAAGCAGGCGATCGCACCAGAGTCTAGCGTGAAGGAGAGCGTGGCGGTAGCGGCCGAAGGCAGAGGAGCTAGCGTGGAGCCGAGGCTAAACAATGCAGGTTGTCCTACGCCTGACGCAGCATGGGAAACTAGACTACACACAGTGGACTCACCTACACTAGGCAACACCGGGTAATAGGGTCCAGTCACACTAGAATCATCACCATACATGACATACATAGCAGACCTAATCTGATCCATGTCAAGCTCAAAGATAGGCACACAGCAACGTGCCAGGACGTACCAGTCAGGAGGGTCCGAAGTGGGACCAAAGCAGAGACGGTAGAGGTCATCTAGGCGACGGCAGCAGCGGACAGTGGTGTGACTGGGACGGTCGCAGACGGTGTCGTGGCGGGGGCCAGACTGAAGCTGGTACTGGCAGGTGACCACACTGGAGCCGCCACCCGACACCGAGCTGCGCGCCGCATCACCACGATCACAACCACTAGCGCCACCAGGCCACCACGGCGGCGGGGGTCCCCACGGCGGCTGCTGCAACGGCTGCTGCAACGGCTGCTGCTGAGACTGCGGCTGCTGCTCTGGGGCACCGGCCCCGGTCCCGTCGACTGCACCACCGTCCCCGGCTCCACCTCCACGACCCCCACCACCCCCAACACCCTTCCCTCCGCCACGCCCCCCCTTCGGGCAACGGCCCCTACTCTGACGCTGCTGCGCTGAGGCCGCGACGACGGTATCAGCAGTAGGAGCT